AGGAATAATTTTTTTTGGAGTAAATACCAATTTTGGCCTCACAAGTATTAGTAAAATGATAGTTTTGGTCCACATGTTTAATTTCTATCAAATTTTCATCCACGACTATTATTTTCGTACCAGTTTTCATCCGACTATTGTTTTAATGCCAAGATTAATCACACTGGTCACCCTCATTTAAGATATGCCGAATATGAAATTATTAAGGATATTTTTGTCATTTTCAAATTAAGATCTCAATTTGAGCATGAATATAGAGATTTAAACACTAAGATCGATCTCAATTCATAGTTCTTCTTCTAAAGTTAAGGTAGGATGAAGAGAACTGTGAATTATGATCGATCTTAGGACTTAAATCTCATTATTCATGCTCAAATTGTGATCTTAAGTTGAAAATGACGAAAATACCCTTACAAATTTTAGATTTCGGCATGTCTTAAACGAATTAGTGATCGACGTGATGAATTTTGTCACTAAAATAATAATCATGGATGAAAATTGGTACTAAAACAATATTCATGAATGAAAATTGGTAGGAATTAAATATGTGGATCAAAACTGTAATACTCATGGGATCAAAATTGGTATATGCTCAATTTTTTTGCTATTTAAATTGGCAATGACATATAGTTTCCATATTTATCAATTCCGTAAGATATAGTTATATTCTTAAAAGATACTCCGTATCAATTAATGACTATAATCTAGTAGCCCAGAAAGAAATTTTGCTATCTTACCATAATAGATCATTATATTCATAAAATTCCAAAAATGTACAATTATTTATTTTCATACATATTCCAAAAAAAAAAAAGAGGTTGAGTTGTCAATAATTCTTGTCAAACCTTATTAGGAGAATCATACACATATAACACGATGGAGATACTAATTGTATTGGATTATTCTTTTCTAAATTAGATTATTAAATCACTCTTTTTAAACCCTTCATGGACAATAATGAAAATATAAAAGATATTTCTTTATTAATTATCTACATTTGTAATAGCACATTATTTGTTTCTATATTAATCGATTTCTTAATATTTCAACCTGGGCACCTGGCCACAACCACATTAAATTAGTTTCCTAATAATGATTAATTACTGACTTCAACCTAATAGCCAAAAAAACAAATTTTCTATTTTACCATAATAGATCATTCAAAACAGATTTTAATCAAATGAATGGCTCAGATTGATTAAAAGATTGATAAGATTTAAATTTTACACTAAAATTTCCTAAAATACCCACACACCGTTACTAATTCCGTTAAAATTTTAAGAATTGCCGTTAGTTCACCGTTAACTTACTCATTGATTTCAATAAAAAAAAGGTCTTAGGTTCGAACCTCATCCCAATCAAAGTTGCATAATTAGTACTCTATTTTACTCTTATTAAATTATTATATAAATAATAATTTAGTAGTTACAACAAAAAATTATAGATATGCATTTCTTTAATTTAGAATTATGTGTCCACAATGCCTTTATTCAAAAAAAAATTATTCATTATCAATAAATTAAATAAGAGAAATAATTGTATTAGTTATATTGTCTTTATTTTTCTACAATATAAAAATTCTTTATATTCAAATTTATTAATTGATTATATTCGCTACATTGTCCTTACAATGTCTTAATTCAGTGAAAAAAAAATTATTCATTATCAATATATTAATTAAGAGAAATATTTTCATTAGTTATATTGTCTTTATTTTTCTCAAATGTAAAAATTTTTACATTCAAATTCATCAATTGATTATATTCACTACATTGTCTATTATCTTTTTTTTGCACTATTTTTCTAATTAAATATCAAAATTATAATACAAAATAATGCTATATATTTATTTACCAAGTATTTTATTAATACCATGAAAAAATTAAAAAAATATATAATTAATAAAGCCAACCATATTAACTACTCGAGAGATTTTGTGACAAAAAGAGTATTCAAATCACACAATAAATTGAAGTGAGAACTACCTTGCAATGTCCTTGTTTGACAATCAGCAGTTAGCACGCGGATTATATTAGCGGATTTGACCAACGAATTTATTTAATTATTAACATTGGGTAGAAAAAATGACCGCCAAATTATTAAATCAAATGAATGGTTCAAATTGTTCCGGTTTTATTTTTTTTTTTTTAAATTTTTCTAATTTATCCTTAATTATATGATTATCCATTTAACTTTTTCGTTAAATACCATTAATTCACCGTTAGTCTAATTATAATATTAACGTCTAATATAGAATTATAATTACACCATTAATCTAATTCTAATTTTAAAGTCTTAATAGAACTTAACCACAAATCCTAATGTCGAAATCTCCTCAAACAATATTAGTATATATTTAATATTTTATGCCCTAATTTTTATTTGTTCTCCCTTATGTCCCGTATTTGGTTTCAACCATACCTATACAATTATTTTATTGACAATTATAATCAATCTTGACTATATTATCTTGCATTTGTAAACTTAGAATTACCTATTTAACCCGTACGGGCTTAGCTCAATGGTTTAGTGGGCAGTATTTGGGAGAAGAGACCAAGGTTTGAACCTCGGCGGCGGCAGTGCGGGAATTATGTCCAAAGTGGGCAGATTCCTTGTTCGCACCGACATTTGGTCTTGTCTGCTGAACCATTGAGTCACTGTGATTTACAACTTCCTACAATGCTCTGTCGGGTCAGAGTGTGGGGGGCCCTTGGGGTAGGGGACTCAACCTTTGGGAGAAGAATTACCTATTTAAATACGCAAATTCAACCTTCAATTATCTATGCATGAACAATTTCAATATAATCTTGCCTTAATATACTTTAAAGTACTTATTAAAAAAAAAACATTGGGCATTATCCCAATCGCGCAATGCGCGTAAAAAACTAGATTTTAATCAAATGAATGGCTCAGATTAATCATAAAATTAATCAGATTTTAATTTTACAATGAGATTTACTTAAATACCCACACACCGTTAGTCCATCCGTTAAAAATTTTAATTAACCGTTAGTTCGCCGTTAAGTCAATCTCACCGTATATCTCACCACAGCCGAATTCCAGAATTTTGCCAAATTTCCCTCATTGACTACTTGATCTCCACAGCCGACTCACCCGTCTTCACCTCCTCCGAACCAATTGAAAGCTCCTAATAATATAATAAGGTAAATAGATATCAAAAGCTCAGCCGATCAGACTGCCGATATCAATCTCAGTCAGGCATGCCGATATCAATCTCAGTCAAGCATGCCGATATCAATCTCAGTCAGGCATGCAAATTAGTGTTTCTTCTAATTTCAGTTTTTGTATTGTTATTCGTTTCAGGTTCAGAAATCCCTCTTGAAGAGCTTGCTGAATCAATTGTATCAGATAAGAATCCTAATAGCAGCATTAAAAGGGAAAAGGTATGTGTTTACCTTAATCCCCAAAGGGGTTCTATTATTCTGTTTTTCCATGAATTATTCAAGCATCGATAAGGAAACAAAACTCCTTCCTCTGATTCTATATTTTAAGGAGCTCTTGGATATTTGAAAGGAAATCAGTATCCCTCTCTATGGTGCCGGACTGAAGTTTGAGCATCTGAAATCTGATCCTTCAAATACATGTTTTCTTATTAGGATAATTGATTGAAAGTTGAAACTGCCTACATAGTTATTAGTTAGATTCTAAAAAAAACATCCAATACAATTTCATTAAAAGTATAATCTTTCATCTTCTAGATATAGTCATATATTGTATAGATAATTCTTCCACTTAGTTCATTCTTATTCTTATAGTGTAGATTGATCACAAAAATGGATGAATTCCAGTTCTGTAACATAGCTCCAACCTCTGTTTAAATAGCTGAAAGCACATGTGACCATTTTATTTGTTCAGTTGTTTAGATTCATGCATACATATATGTCCTGTACTTATTAAGCTTCTTTGATTATACTTATAAATTCAAATCAGATTCCTGGACTGTATTCCTCTTTCTTGTTCATCAGGTTGTTTCCAATTGTTTATCTGCCCTACAAGAGATTTGGACCTTGGAAGGATGTAAATCTGAGGAAGCATCAAGGGACAGAGAGATATTGCTAAGCAAGCGAGTTATATATTTCCTTCTAAATAGGTAATATTGAAGTGATATTTACTATTTGATTTTAGTAATAAATAGAAAGTCCATACACCAAGCTCACAGAGTTATAGATGAAATCTCAGTTCCAAACTAATCTAAACTCACCCTATACACCAGTATTGGATGGTAACAAGCCTAACCCACGAAACCACAATGCCTCAAGAGAGGTCACAATCAACCAACGAATTTGCAGAGAGTAACAGTTTTCAGCTAGAAAGTAGAAAGGAAAAGATATCAAAACCTGTATATTGTAAACCGGTTCAAACAGTCGCAACTCACAATTTATAGCCATTAGTTCACATCCTTTACGAATGTACCTTGATTGAAGGTGCAGATAGAAGAGCTTTGGATCCGAATCTAACAAACCCGGGTGGTATTACCTTCAAAGCAAAATTTGAGTGTTAGTGATGTTGTGTTTCGCGTTAGGTTGTGTGATCCTCAGGTTTCATTCCGGGGCAGTAATCCCAAGTCCTATACTCAAATTTCTTACTGATGAGAGAATTTGCTTTGTCGATTTTTTCTGTTTTTAGTTATGACCATTTTTTTTTTCTGTTTGCAACGGAACGATACTCTTTCTTCTATTCCAGACCAATCTTTTGTTCTTAAAGATTGTCCTCCTTGCACCTATTGTAATGCAAGGCGATTCCAATATGAACCACCTGGATTTTATTGCTCATCTGGTCAAGTTGTTTTGGTGTCTAATGAAATGCCTTCACTCTTGAAACAATTGTTTTGTGAGAAAGATGAAGTGTCACGTCATTTTCAAGCATGTGTTAGAACGTATAACAACACATTTGCATTTACTTCATTAGGCATACACAACTACGACAAACAATTATCTAGGAGGAATAAAGGGATCTATACATTTAAAGTTCAAGGACAAATGTATCATTTTATCAATGATTTGGTGCCAGGGGACCAACCTCCTAAAAACTTGCAATTGTATTTCTTTGATACTGACCATGAGGTTGAGAATAGAATCAAAGGGGCAGAACGAATGGATGCAAGTGTTGTTGAAAACCTTATTGACGTACTTAGAAGCAATCCGTATTCACAGTTCTTCAGAAATCTCAAAGATATATCAAGTCTTGATGATTATAATATTCTGATTCGTTCAAATGCAAGTCTAGATCAACGTGTTTACAACATGCCTACCTCTTCTCAAGTTGCAGCAATTTGGGTAGATGAACAAGATGGTAGTGGTCAGAACAATCGTGATATTAGAGTTTTTGCAAAAACTGGCCAATCACATTCTGTGAAATACTATTACGGTTGTTATGATCCCTTGCAATATCCCCTGTTGTTCCCCTACGGAGAGAGTGGTTGGCACGAGGGAATATCTAAGGTTCCTAAATCTTATCAAAATAATTATTCTATTTGTGAAGGTATTCTCCAGCCTCGGGGGTTTTCTTCAATACAAGCTTTGTTAAACAAAGAGAACGAAAACTTTGTTGGTCAGAGCAAGCGGAACACTGTTTCATGCAGAGAATATTATGCTTATCGTTTTCAAATTCGACCAAACGATCAATCTATGCTCCTACATTCAGGAAAACTCTTTCAACAATTCATTGTTGACACCTATATCAAAATTGAGACACAAAGATTGGACTATTTTCGAACACAGCAGCGTGATGTTCGAATAGAAAGTATGCAAGGATTAGCGGATAGCATTGCATGTGGGGAAACAAATGCATCAAATGTGGGACGCAGAGTAATTTTACCGGTATCTTTCATTGGAGGCCCACGAGATATGCGTAAAAGATATATGAATGCTATGACATTGGTTCAACGGTATGGTAAGCCAGATATTTTTTTGACAATGACGTGTAACCCAAATTGGCCTGAGATTAAAAATTCGCTTCAATATTGTGATGAATCTCAAAATAGGCCTGATTTGATTTCAAGAGTGTTTCGTGCTAAGTTGGAAGAATTGAAAGTTGACCTCCTAAAGAAAAAACTTTTTGGAGTGGTGATAGCATACACTTATGTGATTGAATTCCAAAAGCGTGGCCTCCCACATGCTCATTTCTTATTAATCTTAGGGAAAACCCACAAATTTTACTCGGGTAGGGATGTTGATGCAATTGTTAGTGCAGAAATACCTGACGCAGTTCAAAACCCTTCTTTGCACTCTTTAGTGGCAAAACACATGATACATGGACCGTGTGGTCCTCTGAATCCTCAAAATCCATGTATGGTTGAAAATTCCGGTGTTTCACTTTGCAAAAGTAAATATCCCAAGAGATTTTCTGATGCAACAGTTTTGGGAGAGAATTCATATCCTACTTATAAGCGCAGGGACAATTCAAGGTTTGTTACCGTTCATGGCCACCAATTGGACAACAAATGGGTGATACCATATAACTCATATTTGTTATCTAAATTTGATTGTCATATCAATGTTGAAGTTTGTGCAACTATTAAGTGCGTAAAGTACATATACAAGTATATATATAAAGGTCATGATAGAGTTGCATTTAATTTATCTTCTGGAGAAGAGATCATTGACTTTGATGAAATAAAAGAATACCAAAATGCAAGATGGGTATCACCTCCTGAAGCTGCATGGAGAATATATGGGTTTAGCCTTGCTGAAATAAAACCATGCGTAGTAGACTTGCAGATTCATTTGGAGAACTACCAGTACATGAGGTTTGATGGAAAACAAGCTTTGAGTGATCTTGTGGATAATCAACTTAGCTCAAAGACGATGTTAACACAATTTTTTTTCATGAATACGACTAATGAAACAGCTAAGAGATTGAACTTATTGTATGCTGAGTTTCCTGAGTACTTTGTTTGGTCAAACAAAGATAAACACTGGTATCCAAGGCAAAGAGGGGAAGTTGTAGGGCGGCTGGTAAGTGTTAATCCCATTGAAGGAGAGAGATATTATTTGAGAATGTTGTTGATGAATGTCAGGGCACCAAAATCATATGAACACTTAAAAATGGTTGGTGAATCTATGACTACAACTTTTAGAGAAGCGGCAGAGAAATTGGGATTGTTGCAGAGTGATCGGGTGATAGATCAATGTCTGTAGGAAGCTATGTGTTGGCAAATGCCTACAAGTTTTCGAAGGTTATTTGCTACGATGTTGGTCTTTTGTGATATTCCATCTCCCCGTGGTTTGTGGATAAAATACAAGGAACATCTTTGTGAAGACCTAATTTCCTCATCTGTGAATATAATTGATGCTGAAAATAAGTGTCTCCATATGATAAGTGATGTACTTGAATCTTTGGGGAAAAATATCAATGACTTTGCGTTAGTTTCTTATTATATTGGCCTTACAAAACAACAAAGAATACACAAAGAAATACAAGCAGAAAAGAATTTGTTGCCAAATGAAGCTGATTTACTTGCTATTACGAAGTTGAATCAAAGTCAACGAGCAGCCTTTGACACTATAATTGCGCGGGTTTACTCAAGTTCTGGAGGAGTATTCTTTGTTGATGGCCCTGGGGGAACTGGCAAAACGTTTCTATACAAGTGCCTTTTGGCTAAAGTGAGATCAAACCATGACATTGCACTTGCAACTGCAACATCTGGTGTAGCTGCATCTCTTTTACCAGGAGGCCGAACAGCTCATTCTCGATTTAAAATACCAATTAATGGAGATGATAAATTTGTATGCAATATCGGGAAACAAAGTGCCGAAGCCGCACTTCTTAGAGAGTGCAAGTTGATTCTATGGGACGAAGCAACAATGGCAAATCGTAGAGACATAGAAAATGTTGAAACAACTTTGAGAGATATCACAAATTGTGACAAAATCTTTGGTGGCAAAGTTGTAGTCTTTGGAGGTGATTTTCGCCAGACGTTACCTGTAATAAGATCGGGAAGCAAAAGGGATTTCATAGAAGCAAGTTTGGTAAAATCCAGGAAAATTTGGTTAGTGGTTGAGAGATTGGTTTTGACAGAAAACATGCGTGCTAAAGAAGATCCATCTTTTTGCGAATACTTAATGCGCGTGGGCAATGGACAGAAAAATATGTTGTTGACAATTCAATTGAAATTCCAAAAACATTCCTTGTCCCATATACAAATGAATTACAGTCTTATAATTCATTAATTGACATAGTTTTCCCAGATTTAATGAACTTCAGTTGTGATCCTTATCCACTCATGAAGAGAGGTATATTGACACCAAAGAATGAATATGTGGATGAAATTAACAACACCTTAATTGCTAGATTTCCTGGAGAGGAAAAATATTATGTCAGTTATGATGAGTTGTTGGATTCTACTTCCCCCCATGATTTTGCTGACTTCTTGCATACTATCTCGGTACCTGGTCTACCTCCTCACAAGTTGATCCTAAAAAAGAATTGCCCTGTAATGTTGCTGAGGAATATTAATCCTGCAGAAGGACTATGTAATGGTACACGGTTAATATGCGATGACTTTCGTGATCATGTTATACGTTGTGTCATTGCTTCTGGGGAACACTTCGGTAAACATGTTTTCATACCAAGGATCCCACTTGAAGCCTCAAAGGATGAAAAATGCTCAATCCCATTTAAACGCCACCAGTTCCCAATCAAAGTGTGTTTTGCAATGACAATAAATAAGGCACATGGGCAAACATTTGATTTTGTAGGGATTTATTTGAGACAACCAGTATTTTCTCACGGTCAATTATATGTAGCCTTATCAAGAGCCAAAAAAGCAGATTGTGTAAAGATGTTAATTTGCAATAATCATCGGGATACAAGTTCTACAAATGTCACCGATAACATTGTTTATGAAGAAATTCTGACTGAAGCCTGTCTGCCAAACAATTTATCCTACTAGGTTATTTCTTAAACTATTATTTCTCCACACTGCCACTATTTTTGAGCATAACTAAAACTCTGCAGTCTATTTAAATGTGCCAGAACTACTGCTATGGATCCAATATTTATAGTATAGTAGATTGACTAAATTAAGCTTTAAAGCATATACTATATGTTTTCCTTTGATTTACAGTGGTTAAATTACTGTATACACTATTGGATCCTGAACACCTTTTTTGTTCCTTCTTATAGCTTTATGCAGAGTCCTTGGCACGCTTTCAATCAGGGTCTCCATATATCTATCCTATGTATGGACTGGGAGAATTGCCTCAGGTTTGTGTCCATTATTTGTTTTAAACCTTAACGCGTCTGTTAAAAAATAAATAAAATACTCTCTCCATCCAAATCATTTGTGACTTTGTCCCGTTAACTATTTCAGTGTTACTTTTTTTAAAATAGTGATCATAATATAATAAAAATTTGTAATTTGTTTAGCTTCTTTTGATATGTGTATACGTTTTTCAGGCATTTGCACGTCTTAGTGCAGTTTATGGTGGGACATACATGCTAAACAAGCCTCAGTGTAAGGTAAACCCATAGGAAAATTGGCTGAATTCACAATCTATCATATGCTTAGCAAGCCCTAATATGGGGAAGAGAAAATTTCAATTTTGGTCCACTGACTATTGGGGTTGTGTTAATTGCAACACTTGACTTTCAAAAACGTTAATTTAGTATCTTAACTATGTAATTTCTATCAATTTTGGTCACGCCGGTCAAATTACCGGCGAATTGTGACCGAAAAATCTTAACTCATTTAAATAAAAAGGGCAAAAGTGTAATTTCATGTTATTTAAACCTCTTTTGAGCTTCCTTCTCTTCTCCGACATTCTTTCCCTCCTCGTCGCCGGCGCCTTCGTTTGCTTATGGAGGTCCATTTCTAATTCGTTTGTTTTGGGTACTATTATTAATTGTGCGTCGTTGCAATTCGATCGGTTGATGTTTTCTAATGATTTGTTTTATCAATGCATGCCTAAAACAGTAAAGCCTATTTGCAGAAAACCAGCATGCCACATATACACTCAATCTTTTTACTAAATCCTTCGCGAAGAGCCGTTCTCCAGAAATCGCCGCCGAGGAAAAATAAAAAATTATCAACCTCATAGAGCCGCCGGAAGCGCACAAGGTGGGAAAAACTCAAAATGAAATGGGAACATGAAAAGCAGCTTCAACCATGTCTCATCGAAGATGTTCAATTCCCGTTCCTACACCAACATCATGTTAACGTCGAGGAGGTTTCGAACACTTGCCTAACAGGATGCTATCCAGGAGGTTTCGAAACACTTGCCTTGAGATCGATTAAGGCTTGGATATGATTCGTTGATTTCAGTCTAATGCTATATATGCAAGGTTATATGATTTGGGAGCTAGAAAGGTGGTGATGTTTGAGATTGGGCCGATCGGTTGCATTCCGTTATTCACGAAGAAATCTAAACCCACAAATGAGACGTGTGTTGTGGATTACAACCAGCTTGCGATGATGTTCAACGAGCAGCTTGACGCCATGCTTAAAAATCTTACCACCACCCTCGACGACTCTCAATTTATACTCGGTCATTGTCACTGGCTTGGCTACGACATCGCCATAAACCCGGCTGCGTATGGTAAATCAATGAATCTCAACTCTGTTTGAGGTTGATAAAGACCGATGGAGAAGAAGAACCCGCCGTTTAAATAAAAGCTCAACTCTGCGTGCTTCTTCGCGCAGACCCCCCCCCCCCCCCCCCCCCCCCTCCTCCTTTTAGTTAGTCTTTGAATAAAATTCACATGGAGCCGCCGAGAGATGTAGAAAGTGAAACCGCCCGCCGACGAGAGGGATGTCGGAGAAGAGGAGCACGGATGCGGTTGATGAAAAGATGAAAAGAGAAGAAGAACAGATGCGCCTGGAAGAAGCACGATGGAGAAGAAGAACAGAGAAGATGAAAAGACCAACATGCCCTCATTATTTTACTATTAAAATTTTTCCGGTCATAATTCGCCGAAAATTTGATCGGCGTGTCCAAAATGGATAGAAATTGCATAGTTAAGGTACTAAATTAACGTTTTTGAAAGTCACGTGTTGCAATTAACACAACTCCAATAGTCAGTGGACCAAAATTGAAATTTTCTCTATGGGGAATCTAGATTGATGTTTGTTATACTCATCATTCTCATGTTGACCCATAAGCTTGTAGTTCCAACTTTTTATGTGGTATAGTATAAAAGTTTTTGAAAAAACAAATTTAAACTTTACCTGCTCTACCCTGAGTCTGCTGGTCTGCCTCCTCATTTGAAGATTCAAAGTTTAAAAGCCTCAGTGTTTAAACATTTCATTGTACCCAAAGTTTCCATAAATAAGCAACTTTTTGGACTATAGATAGAGTTCGACGACAGTGGAACAGCCTATGGTGTGACCTCTGAAGGAGAAACAGCTAAATGCAAGATAGTTGTTTGTGATCCAACCTATTTAACTGATAAGGTACTTATCAGAAATCTAATTAGTATGGTTCCTAGGGTATTATATTAACAGAAATCTGCTGCCAAAACTGTTCAACATTCCACCTCCAAATGTTAGTTTTGGTTCATAATCCAGATTGCATGTTACAGGTCCATAAGGTTGGAAAAGTTGCTCGTGCAGTATGCATAATGAGCCATCCTATCCCTGACACAAACGACTCCCATTCTGCTCAGGTTATTCTGCCACAGAAACAACTTGGTCACAAATCAGACATGTGTGTTTCCTAAATCTCCCAACTTGCCTATTTTTTTTTTAATTGTGAGAATTTTGGATAATATATGCATGTATTACACACACAGACACATTCTGGAAACTGAACTGAATTTCCAACCACTCTCTTCTCATGAATGTATGTACACAACCACAGGTACTTGTTCTGCTGCTCTTATACTCACAATGTTGCCCCCAAAGGCAAAGATATAGCCTTTGTGTCGACAGAAGCTGAAACTGATGATCCAGAAACAGAATTGAAGCCTGTCGGGATACAAGTTCTACAAATGTCACCGATAACATTGTTTATCAAGAAATTCTGACTGAAGCCTGTCGGTCAAACAATTTACCCTACTAGGTTATTTCTTAAACTATTATTTCTCCGCATTGCCACTATTTTTTAGCATAACTAAAACTCTGCAGTCTATTTAAATGTGCCTGCTATGGACCCAATATTTATAGTATAGTAGATAATAATAATAATAATAATAATAATAATAATAATAATAATAATAATAATAATAATAATAATAATTATTATTATTATTATTATTATTATTATTATTAAAACCTGATTACCATCAATGAGGTTGCTGTAGTACTTTATTTCTTTGTTGGTATGTGTTTTCAACAGTGAATAAATTATATGATCTGGAGTCTACAATTTATTTGTCATTATGTGAGAAAACTTTGCTTTAGATTAAGTTTAACAAGAAGAGTTAATATGAACATTAGAGCGACAACCCTGAATTGGCATCTGGTGGAAATGATAATAGACTATGCACTTAATGCTTGCTTTATGTTTAATTACCTCAAAAAGGAAAAAAAAAAAAAAAGAAAAAAGAATGGCTCTTGATTGAATCTTTTCTTGGATAGCTTTTTGTATGGAACAACCATTCAACAGAACCTGTGCTAAAATATTGTGAGCACACTGCTGCTGTAAAAGCAATTGCATGGTCACCCATCTTCATGGACTTCTTGCTTCTGGTGGTGGCACAGCTGACCGATGCATTCGTTTCTGGAGTACTGCCACTAATACTCATTTGAATTGCATGGACACTGGTAGCCAGGTGATAAGCTTATCATTAATTAGGTTTATCAATATTGTGGGAAATATTTTTTTGTTAATTTGCTTATGCATATGTTGGTATTCTGTTACTAAGATTCTGTTTGTTCTCATTCTATATTTAGCATTTCCCTATGAAGTAGCAATTCTTCAAATTTATTTTATCTCTTGCTGCTGAGATCTTTATGGATTCTTAACTTATGAAAGTAATGTTTTGGGTTGAAAATAAGCTCGTGCAAGAGAAGTTGGAGAGATATAAATAAAAGTTTACTTACCTTGAGCCGTGTCATATATGGATTGGTTTAGCATTTTGTTCACATTGCTTACAGGTCTGTGCCGTACATCTTTTGTAGCATATAAAATGAATTTCTCTTTTTTATTTGGGTCATCTTCTTTTGCCTTGTACAGGGACAGTAAGTTTACAAGGCTTTTGCCGGACTCCTTAGGAGGAAAACAAAAGCTTGTATCATTGCAACAATTTCATCATTTGCTAATTGTCTAGAAGAAACCTTAAGAACATTGGACTATGCATACCGTGGTAAAAACATTAAAAATAAGCCAGAGGTTCATGTTGCTATCTCTTCAACTCCTTAACTTCTAATTAAATTAATTTTCTGTAATTTACTAAGTAGTGATTATCTTCTCAGGTAAATCAAAAGATGTCCAAAACCATGCTGCTTAAAGATCTATACCAAGAAATAAAAAGGATGAAACAAGGTATGTAAGTGCACTTAAATTTCTCTGTGAAATGATGAATACTGAAATCACTTTCTTCATGATTTACCAACTAGATGTTCGAGCTGCGGGGGAGAAGTATGGGGTTTATATTCCACAAGAAAGATTTTAGCAAGATGAAGCTGAAAAGAAGGTATGTGTTTTATGACCTTGGTTCTGAAATTGTCTTTAATACAGTGAGTCAATATCTATAGAAATGACAAATGAGTTTGGTTTTTTAGAAGTTAGTTTCTGATAGATATATTATCTATATAAAGTAAGTAAAAAATATGATAACTTGCTTTATATATCTTTCTCTGGTTCATTCTTGAATCGATTAATTGTTTTGGATGGAAGAATGCCTTTCACATCATAGTAGTAGCTATGTTTCTGCAATGACTTTCTTTGCTTCCCAATTTATATTGAGCCTTTAGATTAACAGTTGTACTTTGCAGGCAAAGAATGAGAAGATTGAGCAGATGAAGAATGATCTGGATGTTGGATGTTAGTGAGAAAGTAGAATCAAATATTTATTTATTGTTATTGTTATTGTTTTTCATATATGTGCACTTTATTTAACATTAACTTCACCTTACAGGAAGATTCCAATCTTTCTGAAACTCAGGCAACAAGGTTAGCAGGCAACACTTCATAATCTGGGACTTCTACAAATAATCAAACTGAGAGATGAAAACGATAACACGGTTGTTATAGGTCGAAATATTGTATTGAAGAGTAATGAAACCATGATGCCTTGATTTTTGAAAGTTTTATAATTGTAGTTGGGACCTGTCATTTTGTTGAATGTTGGTTTTATTAGTATTCACAACTATGTCATTATTGTAGTTATTTATAGATAAATTGCCAACATTAATCAGACATTTAATAGTGAAATAAGAGGATGTTGTGTTCGGTTTGTGATATAAATATTATTTGGAATTGGTGGATGGTTGACAAGTTGAAATGCTTAATATATATGTCGTCTTCGGCATTAAATTGAGTGGTACGAGTTTGTACGTAGCCTCCAAAGTAAGTAATAGATATAGTAGTATGTCGTTTTGACATTTCGTTTTTGGCTTTTGTAATCACATGATTTGATGAAAAACTCGATTCATATTAGGTAAATTATTATGTGAACTCGGCTCCACCTTACCTTGCAAGGTGGAGTCAGGTTCAAATATTCACAATTTACCTACTAAATGTTTAGAGGTTATGAGACTGAAACTCCTTGTGAATTGAAAATCATCTTATACAAAAGATTTTAATAGAAAACTATGAATTTTGAACATTATTATGTGTGCTTGTACATGTACAAGGAAGCCTAAACATTTGATCACTTACACTTTGAGGGAGGCCCATTGCGATCAAACAATTGTTTCCTTAATTCCAGACAGAAATGGTATCCACAACTCCAAATTCTAGAAAAGCATAAATTAGCACTTTTGAGGAAAAGAAAGAGACGTCACAACTACACTTAACTTGGTTATATATATATATATATATATATATATATATATATATATATATATATTTATTTATTTATTTATTTTGAAGAGAAAAACTTAATGAATTAACTCAGAGGAAATACAATGTGGGCAGCACGATTCGCAGATCGCCTAGCAAAACAGAAGTGTACATCATGCATAGAAGATGCAATTTCTTTTATATCATCAATTATTAAAGAAAAAACAGAATTGAAAGAGTCTGAACATAAAGCATGGTAAACCAACTGCGAGTAAGTCTCAACATCGACCTCCCCCATTCCGGTTCCTTTTAGCCAGCTCAAAGCTTCACACACACAAACCGCCTCCGCCTCTTTTACGCCATAATTTCCTTCCACTTATTTGTGAATTGTCCTGTGATAGCCTCTTTTTGGATTGGTTTCGGTCTGCCTGCTGTTCACCATAGTCATGGTAATGTTGTTGAATGGATTTTTGGTTCATTAGCTGCATTGAATGTGGATAAGAGGGATCAATTTGTTATTATTTGCTGGGGATTATGGGGGAGTAGGAATGCAAAAGTGTGGAATGGGATACCTTTTGCATGTGATATTATGGCTCAACATTCCTTTAATTACCTTGTCAGTTGGAAGATGGCAAATGAAGGGAATAATCCAGAATGCCGTGCGGATGTGGTCTTGGAAAATTGGACACCGCCAGTACCTGGTTCTATATTTATTTATCTTCCTTTATTACACAAAAACAACTGATAAAAATACAAAATCCTACACAGCCACTTGCAATATACAAATCCTTATAAAATTAGTAGAAACTGATCTTACTTCAAAAGAAAAACATACAAATCCTTATAAAATTGTAACATTAACGTCTTAATAAAACTCTAACCCATAAATTCTTATAGAATTAAAACTACACCATTAGACTAATTTCGAATATTAAAATCTTAATGGAACTCTAACCCAAATCCTTATATATTAAAATCTTAATGGAACTCTAACCCAAATCCTTATATATTAAAATCTTAATGGAACTCTAACCCAAATCCTTATAGAATTATAACTACATCATTAGTCTATATATTAAGTCATTGCCCAGTGGTTAGAAGTACAAACCTAAATTATTCTACAACACAACATCACGGAAGAATTTTGCATCTGATCAGGCACAACAACTTTTTACAAGTATGTTCCTCCCAACCTCCATTAACCTATAACTTCTCCAACCCCGTATCTGTTGAGCATCCCCGCCACATCGCACCGGCGACCAACCACCTTTGCTTACTGACCTCACGCCATTCTTCACCACCTCACCACCACTCACCACAACGCCTTCCAAAAGAAGAGGAACTGGAGACTTAAACATCGTCTCTGCTGTGCCTTTTTCTTTTTTCTTTCTTCCTTTGTGTCGCCTTTTGTCCTTAGCATATTTAATATATTAAGCCCTGATTTCTTTCTTCCTTTTGTGTCGCTTTTTGTCCTAATAAGTATATTTAATACATTAAGCCCTAATTTCTTTCTTCCTTTGTATTGCCTTTTGCCTAAATATATTTAATATATTAAGCTCTAATCTTTGTTTGCTCTCCTTATATCCCGTATTTAGTTTTAACCATACCAGACCTTATAATTACAAATATTAATAATATGTGAATTATTACACCAATTATTTTAACATATTCATAATTCTTATTTGATAGTTTGTGTTTTCTTTCAACTTTATTTGATACTCATGATTCTTATTTGATTCTTATTTGGTATCTCATGTTTTCATTCTCATCCTTACCTAATCTATGAATTCATATTATCTTTACTCTATAATTTATGCATTTGAATTTAAAGTATATTATGTGATGTTTTCAAAAACATAGTATATTATGTGATAACATTTTTTTTTAAAAGTATTATATGATAACATTGTTTATGAACCATGGAACCAGGATATTAGACATGGAAAAAGAACTCAAGTTAATTGATATTGATACGCAAACAAAGAATTGGAGTTCTAAAGTTCGTGTCATCAAGAAAAATGAACTAAACTTTGCTATTGCAACAAAGGGGAAAAAGTACATGCTCATTGTCCTTGAAGATGAAAGTGTAAGTAATTCATAAAATATTATCTCTCTTATTATTATTATTATTATTATTATTAATCAAATGCATAATTATAAATGATATATTTAAATGTAGGGAACTCGAGTTCAAGCTACAGTGTTTGATAATGACATTTCAATGTATGATATGGTTTTAAAACCAAACTCATGGTACAGTATTTCAAATGCCTTTGTCAGACCCGGGCGATCTGAATTCAAAGTTGTAGATCAAAAATACAACTACACTTGGATTCTAAATGCTAAGACCAGAATCCACGCAATTGATAATGTTGACACCACACTGGCTCCAATTGAACAAGTTTATACACCATTCGATGAGTTTTATCAATGCATGAAAACTTCTACAGAAATGTGTAAGTTTATTTTTTTCTATATCATTATAACAATATCTATTCTAACCATATATATTCTAAATTATTTATCTTCATCCTCTATTGACAGCAATCGTTATTGACAAGCTACCAAAAGAATTTGTCTCAACAGCTAATGGAAATCAAAAAATCAATGACTTCATTCTTGTGGATGAAAAGTAAGTCTCCCAGTCCATTTATACTCTTAAATTATATATACTTACGAGATATAGTTCCATAAGTTATATTGCCTTTAAAATACCCAATGTTAAAATTAAAAAAAAAAACAGGTTGAAGCCAATCATATTAACTACTTGAGGAGGATTTGTTGATAAAGAGGGTATTCAAATAACTCAAGAAATTGAAGCAGGAAACTACCCTGTAATATCTTTGGATTACATCGCAGTGGTTCACTTTAAAGGTAAATCATATTTCATTATTAATAAGATTTAAAATGTATAAATTTTTTATTTAAATACCTAATCTTATATTATCTCATTCCTGGAATAAACTAGGCATTTCTCTATCCACAAGAACTCATTCAACAATACTGGTTGAACCAAAGGTACCTAGAGCAGAACACCTAAAGAATGGTATACTTCTATACTTGTAATTATTTATGTACATGCGAAATATATCATTATCTTGTGTAGCTATATTGAAAAACACATTATTACAAATGTCTATGTAGGGCGAAAGAACATCGTGACACACTTGATGCATTGAAAAGATGCCGAGACTACAACAATGCTGCAATCAAACTTGCAAATCCAGAAAAAGAAGAAATAAAAAAAATATCCACCGTTTCACCATCAATTAATCCCGTAAGTAAAATACTTATTGAGCATTCTTTAAATATATTTACTCAAAACTAATATAAATTAATAATCACTTTCATTTTATAGTCTCGACCTGCTTGGATTAAGGGCAAAATCAGCATTAACCTTGACAACAACAGCACTTGGTATATAGGATGTAGCCATTGTTTAAAAAAGGTTTATGCACAAAGTGACCAGCAATTTAACTGTATGCATTGTGGTGAAAAGAGAGCGGTGGGTACTCCAAGGTTAATATCAATTCAACAAACCAATTTAACAAAAAATACACACACACACACACACACACAAGATTAAATACTATACTCATGCATACCAATTCCAAAAATACGAACTACAAAATGCACAGGTGCAAATTGGATGTGGAAATTGTTGATGAAACTGGGCACATTGCGGCGTCAGTATTCGAACTACTTGCAGAGTCATTGTTGTTACATTCAAGTAAACAAGTTATGGAACTAGAACAAGAGGTACTATTCATGAACCTTCTACAAATATATTAATATTTCGTTTAATTCTATCCACATGAGAATATATGACACACATCTCACAATGAATGGAACATGTAGGGGAAAAAACTACCACTCCTAAATATCAATAAGCGCCTACAAGATCAAGAGTTCGTTGTACAACTAAGATCTCAGGCATATACGCAACAAGGCAGATCCACTTCTTCCTACAGTATAATCTCATTGCATGATGCTTCCCACTATGATATTACAACTAACACAATTGAGCATGGCGCACTACCAAATCAAAAGAAGAGGATGTGTACTGAAGGTGAAGATCAAGAGAATGACAATGCCTCCCTCAAGAGAATTAAGAAAGCTTAGAGAAATTTATTAAACCAAATGTAGATTTTATTTAGACTATTATTTTTAGATTTAGACTAGCATTATTTACACTATTATTTTTAGACTAGCATTATTTACACTATTATTTTTAGACTATGTATTTAGAAAATTACAATCAATTATTTTAGTGACAATTATAATCAATCATAATTGCATTATCTTACATTCGTAAGTTTAGATTATCTATTTAAATAAGCAAATTCAACATTTGATTATCTATATGTATGACCATATGACCAACTCTAATATAATCTTGCATGGATATACTTAAAGTACTTATATAAAAATATAAATATTGGGCATTATCTCAATCGCGCAATGCGCGTGAAAAACTAGTACTTAATATGTGAGACATGTTATTCAGATTCATTTTAGATACATTAGTTTCATTTTATACATTATAAATACGGAATTAATAATGCACCGCCGTTTGTGTTTCTTTTTACTTAACAAAAAGATGACGTTTTTTTTTTTTTTACCATGTCCACCATATAACAATTGAGTTGCTGGCAGAAATTAAAATGTATTTATTTATTTTAACTTTATGGATAATGTGTTGTTATAGAGATATGCTCTAGTGAGGTAAAAAAGCAAAGTATTATCTTCAATTCGTTCTATTTTATTATGTGCTGATTCGATTAATGGGGTTTGATGAAGTTATTTTTTATTTAATTTTTCATAATATTAAATTTAATACTAGTATATAAAATTTATTTATATATTTAGAAACTATATTAAAAGTACTATCAAATACAAAAAAAAAAAATTAAAAATAATTAAAATACTAAAAAAAAAAAAAGCAAATAAGAAAAAGTTACATTGTTTTGACTTATGAATAATAAATATGACAGGTAAATTGAAATATAAGGAATAATTTTTTTTGGAGTAAATACCAATTTTGGCCTCACAAGTATTAGTAAAATGATAGTTTTGGTCCACATGTTTAATTTCTATCAAATTTTCATCCACGACTATTATTTTCGTACCAGTTTTCATCCGACTATTGTTTTAATGCCAAGATTAATCACACTGGTCACCCTCATTTAAGATATGCCGAATATGAAATTATTAAGGATATTTTTGTCATTTTCAAATTAAGATCTCAATTTGAGCATGAATATAGAGATTTAAACACTAAGATCGATCTCAATTCATAGTTCTTCTTCTAAAGTTAAGGTAGGATGAAGAGAACTGTGAATTATGATCGATCTTAGGACTTAAATCTCATTATTCATGCTCAAATTGTGATCTTAAGTTGAAAATGACGAAAATACCCTTACAAATTTTAGATTTCGGCATGTCTTAAACGAATTAGTGATCGACGTGATGAATTTTGTCACTAAAATAATAATCATGGATGAAAATTGGTACTAAAACAATATTCATGAATGAAAATTGGTAGGAATTAAATATGTGGATCAAAACTGTAATACTCATGGGATCAAAATTGGTATATGCTCAATTTTTTTGCTATTTAAATTGGCAATGACATATAGTTTCCATATTTATCAATTCCGTAAGATATAGTTATATTCTTAAAAGATACTCCGTATCAATTAATGACTATAATCTAGTAGCCCAGAAAGAAATTTTGCTATCTTACCATAATAGATCATTATATTCATAAAATTCCAAAAATGTACAATTATTTATTTTCATACATATTCCAAAAAAAAAAAGAGGTTGAGTTGTCAATAATTCTTGTCAAACCTTATTAGGAGAATCATACACATATAACACGATGGAGATACTAATTGTATTGGATTATTCTTTTCTAAATTAGATTATTAAATCACTCTTTTTAAACCCTTCATGGACAATAATGAAAATATAAAAGATATTTCTTTATTAATTATCTACACTTGTAATAGCACATTATTTGTTTCTATATTAATCGATTTCTTAATATTTCAACCTGGGCACCTGGCCACAACCACATTAAATTAGTTTCCTAATAATGATTAATTACTGACTTCAACCTAATAGCCAAAAAAACAAATTTTCTATTTTACCATAATAGATCATTCATAGCAATTTGTAAAAAGAAAAATTATATTTATTTTCATTATTATATGTGAATTGGTTCACCCCACAACAAATTATTGAAAGATGAAGTTCTATTTCACCTTCTAAATTTACCTTCTAATAATGCTCACATCTTGATGTGATATATATATATATATATATATATATATATATATATATATATATATATATATATATATATATATATATATATATATATATATATATATATATATATATTATTGATTTTTTCATAAATTAGTTGACCTACAACTTGTTAAAATATGAATAAATTAAACTTAATAATCAAAGAAACAAATAAATGAATTTGTGTCATATTATGATGCAAAATTAAGAGGTAAATTTTGAAAGTGAAAATAGCATCACTCTTAATTTAAAAAAAAATAAAAATAAATCAGTTAGTAATCAAACAAAAGAACAATTCAAAAAAAAAAAAATTGAAATGAAAAGTCATATAAACCTAATGAATTGAAAGTCAATAGCCTTATTAGGTTCGTATCATTATCATATCAATCGGTTTAAATGATTTGTCAATTAAGGACAAACTTTTTAAGGAAAATGGATCATTACTATAAATGAAAATATTATCTAAATCATCCATCCAAAATTTATCTACTTTTCATCACATCTCTTACACTATATAAATCAATACAATCTTTAAAAAATTGTAAAATACAAGAAAGAAATGCTAAGTACTTCCACATATTCTCTTCTTTCAAACCATGGAAAGAAACTAATAAGATTTGCTTAAATTGCATCTTACAAATGGAGAAAGAAGGGTATATGTTGAAGAAGCTTGACGAGCTCGCCATCCTCTGTAGAAAAGAGGCAACTGCAATAATGTATTGCTGTTTTTAGCAAGAGCCATTTGAGCAGCCATCTATTGAAGAGATGCAATAGACCGTTGTAAGGTTTAGGAGCGTATCAAATGTGGGACAAACCCAACAGATGGTGAACCATGAAAGCTTCGTTCAAGAAAAGGTACACTCGACTTCTCAAATTGAAGAAGGATAATAAAGAAAAGGATATGAGTGCATAGATTGATGTATCAGGTCTTATAAATAGAACATATCTCTTTGATGAGTTTTGAGGATATGAACTATTTAAGATTGGTACATGCATATGGCTGAAATTGATAGCAGGCTTGAGGCTTGAGGCAATTAAGAAAGATTCCTCATCCTGTGCATCGATTTTAGTTCCAACACCACCACCAGGCCGTTCCCCTACCCCTACACTAACTCTTGCTGTTTTTCTTAGCCCATCTTTTGTTTGTTTGTTTTTTTTTTTTGGCAAAATTTTCCTCAAAGCATGACTAGCCTAGCTAAACTCTAGGAATAGTAATTTGGTGGCTCCTACAAATGTGTTTTCCCAGGAAAACAATCAACGCAATGTGTGTATGTAGACTCCCGTGTTTCTCAATTTTAATCTTGGAATGGTTTGAGACTATGAGAGTTGAACTCATTTTATGAGCATGATAAATAACAATAATCAAAATGATCCAACTTAGGCACGATCTAGAAGATCAAGGAATCTTCGATATTTCTACTTAGCTACCATATAGTTCTTCTACAACTCTAATGTTGTTCATTGTAGTATTGCTAGTCTTTCTTGTTGAATTTTGATGCATACGGTATTGCTCAATTTGAAAAAGTATGCAACCTATAGATGCATTGAGTAATACTCTATACATCAAAATTCAAAAAGAAAGACTAGCAATACTATAGTGAACAACATTAGAGTTGTGGAACTATATGGTAGCAAGATAAGTAGAAATATTGAAGATTCCTTAATCTACTAGGTCGTGCCTAAGTTGGATCATTTTGATTACTGTTATTCATCATGCTCATAAAATGAACCTAACTCTCATAGTCCCACACCATTCCAGGATTAAAATTGAGAAACATGGGAGTCTACATACTCATATCGCCTTGATATATAGTTTTTCTGGGAAAACATGTGTGTAAGAGCCGCCAAATTGATAGTCCTAGAGTTTAGGCATGTCATGCTTTGAGAAAAACTCTGCCAAAGAACAAAAGTTTGTCCAAGAACATGAGCAAGAGTTAGTGTAGGGGTAAGGGCTAAAGCCCAATATATAGTGGTGTTGGAACTAAAGTTGATGCTGAGGTTGAGGAATTTTTCATAATTGCCTCAACCTTGCTATCAATTTTAGCCGAACGTATGTTTGTAACCTAGCCTATGTAGTTCATATTCTTAAAATCTAATACATCAATGGACTCTATCTCTTTTTTATTTATTGTCTTTCTTTTGGTTTAGAAGTCGAGTCCTCAATTTCTGCATTCTCTTTTAAATGAAGCTTTCATGGCTCACCATTTGTCGGATTTGTCTCACATTAGTTTAGCTCCTAACCTAGTAATAGTTTGTTTCATTCCTTCACTATATAGCCATACAATTGGCTAGCTCTTATTCAAAAGAGTATTACTCCTCTATTATTGCAATTGCTTCTACACAGTAAATGATGGTGAAATATATCCTTAATTTGTAT